TGCGTTTAATCGGAAATGCTAACATCTTCATCATGGCGCATAATGGCGCCAACGTTGAAAAACTGCCAAGTGCCCCAGCCCAAATCGCGTCCCACTCATCGAATCGCCAAATTTTGATACCATATTCCGCAGCCAGATCCAAGCCAGCTCTGCTGCACGCTTCCGCTTTGTTTGGCCCATGCAAATACGTATGTGTAACAATTGATATTTTGGGTAAACATGTGAGCTATCCACAACGTGACATGGTTAATGTCGCGGCTTACAGTTCACACTCGCACACACACACACACACACACACTCACACACACTCACTTGGTTTGAACTTGGCCTGTCGGCGTGCATAGATCCTAATTGATTTAAGTACTCTTAAGTAAATATATATATATTTTTTGTTAGAATTATGCTCATGTTTCCAACATGTCGAAGATGCTAGCAGCATTACCCCGCTTTGCCCGGCCTGGGTATATTTTTAAAAAATGTAAGCAATACTTTTTCAGACAATTCCAGCCCATGATAACTTCAACTTAAACAAACTTAGATATTTGGAATAGACTTGGAAGTCAATCGGATGAAGAATAACAAAGAATGCAAACAATTTCCGCTCATTTTCTTCACGTGGGTTTAACATCAAAAATCATTCAAACACATTTGCATTCTATACGTTCATACGAGCTTTTCCAATTAAGAGAGATGGACTATGTACAAAATTTGAAGCACTTTTAAATTCAATTTTCACAAAGATCTTTGAAAATGAGTTTAAATTCGATTAAATGGTAAGCAATTAAGTTGTACGCACCCGTTTTCCGCCCATTTTCCACAGTTACGGGTGAACTTGCTCTTTTATTTAAGCACATTGGAATGGGCTGAAATATATTTGAAGTTGGCTTATTTTGAGAGGTAGAGATGACTAACTTAGTTGTCCGCAGATTGGCCTAATTTACATTTATCATTTGCAGCTAATGTATTCATGTTTGGCACTAATTAAGGAAGTCATCTTATAAGGGAAGGCGTCTTCGCGTGCACAAATAGCCTTGTCCATATATAGCCTTGTCTCCCAAGTTTTTCTGTGTGTTTCTACCAGGCAGTATAAATGCTGAAGACGGAAGCATCGGAACACTACCACATCGAAGTATCATATCATTTATCTCCCATACAATACATAGGAATAATCAGGAAGACGACAAAAGTATTTAATTGTTGGCAATTAACATCTTCTAACCCAATCAAGGCCTCTAACAGATCTAATGATATCCTATTGCCGTTAAGCTGTTGGCCAGTGCTCCGTTTTTTTTTTTTCATTTTGCTCCGCTGAGCTACCTAGTCGGAGTCGGGGTTATCTGGCTACCATATCTGTTTCAATTTCAGCCTCTGAGCATGGCTGTCAAAACAGGCAAACAAATTGTGCAAATAAGTCGAGAAAATGTTATTTATGCTCAGACAATTTCAGTGATTAAATAACTAAGCCAAACGAGACCCCTAGAGATCGAATTACAAATAGTAAAATGACATGAAAGTGCGACTCGGCAGCCAATCCGGAGCTGGACTCGTCGTGTCAGGCAGCTTCGGTGCATATTAATGGCCCGGAGGTGTGCATGCCAATTGTCATGCGCTGAAATGCTTGTTAACAACGGCGATTGCTTTCTGGATCGGCTCCCACTCGTCGGAATGGTCATTTCTTTTTTTTTATTTATACCCTCAACCCATGGAAAATGCTTAAACAGGGTATAATTGTTTTGTACAAGTATATGGAATAGGCGGAAGGGGGCATGGATGATCCTATAAAGTATATATACTTTTGACCAGGACGATGAGCTGGGTGGATTCAGCTATCCCCGTCTGTCACTAAAAGATCAGCGCACTTAATATTTGAAGTGTACACTCTTCTGTAAATAATAATAATTAAAATATCGATAAATATCGATTTTGAGACTTGGTTTTTGAGCATAACTCGAAGACTATAAAATCAAGAAACTTGGCATGTAGTATATTAGCAATACATGTACCAAAATATCGATAAATATCGATTTTAAGACTTAACTTCTTAAGCATAACTAGAAGATTATAGAATCTAGAATCTGGCATGTAGTTTTTGTTATTGTATATTGGCAATATTTGTACAATGATATCGATAAATATTCATTTTAAGACTTGTTTTTTGAGTCCAACTCGAAAGTTATACAATCTAGACATATCAAATTTGGTATGTAGGTTCTTGTATAATATAAGCAGATTGGAAATATTTCACTTTTTAGATAACTCAGCAGATTACCCACAAAAACATAAAGACAACGAGTTTTAAAGGCTAGAGCCTTGTGCTTTGGTATATGCAGACTCTTTTATGCTATATCTAAACGCAGAAAATTTCATTGTTATCGGACTGTAAAGAGCGAAGTTATGCAAGACTATCTTTTCCTGGATCCATATTTGTGATTTTGTGTATGTATAAAAGGAAGCTAAAATGATTGCAAAGGCAGCTAAGGTATTTTCTAGTCGAGCACTTCCAATCATATCGCTCTTACTTGTTTTAATCAAAGCCAGAGTCAAAGCTGCTGCAGCGACTCCTGCTTTTGAGTGCTCCGGCTCCGTCTCCGTCTCCATCTCCGTCTCCGTCTCCATCTCCGGCTGTTGCAGCTCCTCCCCCGTGGCAATAACGCCACACATTTGTAATGTTGCTTCTGTTTGAGCCGGCAGTTCAAGTCGAAGTTGGCTCGAACTGCGCTTAGAAGCATTTTACAAGTTACTTTAAGGCAATCAATTTGTGGCCCAAGCAGCTGGACGGGCAAAGCTGCAGTAGGCGGCAGGTGTGAGGTGTGCTGTGCTGGAGGGGGACGGGGAGGGCAGGTCGAAAAAACCAATCAAAAGAGCGTTGCGAACGCAAATTGAACGCCAAATGGCTGGAAGATGATATTTCAATACTTGAAGCGGTCCAGGCTGAGGCCATAAATTATGATCGGGGCGACGCCTGCGCGTAGTTGCTTACTTTTTTGCAGTTATGATTATCGCGCCAGGTTGAGGCCGAGCAACTGAGAGAGAGAGAGAGAGAGAGAGAGAGAGAGGGAGAGGGAGAGAGAGGGAGACGAGCTGTTGTGTTGTGTGCAAACAAATGTAAAAAATTTTTAATTGACTTTTGGATTTGCGCCACCGCCAGTTGCACTTTTTATGGCCCCTCGCGTGCATGCAGCTTAAAAGTTAATAAAACACGCCCAATGATAACAAGCCGCAAACCACAACAGAACAGCGCATATTTTGCCCCTGAGGTCTTCATCATGCCCAAGCCCAGCCTCATCCCCATCCTCATCATCATCATCAAGAACTTGCTGCTGCTGCTGTTGGAAACATTGTGAGTCCGCGCCAGCTCGTAGAAAAACAATCAATTAAGCGTGCAAGTAGCTGACACAGGAGGAGCGCCAGTTGCCAATGGCAATACCAATGCCAACTGGCACGACTTCAGCTTCAGCTCCAAGTCCAAGTCCGAGTCCGAGTCCGACTTTGACTTTGAGTCTGACTCTGATTCGCATTCGCATTGCCCCCGTGGCCAGCGCCGGCTACGACTGGCGTTTTATGGCCTGTTTTGGCAAAATTTATGTTACATTTTTATAGTTCAGTGTAAATTGACTTTTAAAATGTAAAATTTATCATAGCAAACGGCGGCCCGTTGCCGGGCTTAGGCAACACTTTAATTGCTTTATTTTCGTATATGCCGCCCAGATCTGGCAACGCTGCGACCGGAAAGCAGAATCCGAAGCTTGCGTCAAAAGCTCGCACGTCGCGATAAACATCTGCGCGGACTCAAGCACAGCCAAAATAAAAACAACCCTCAAAACTTGAAAAAGCTCATAAGCCGAATCATGAATACCCTTTGGTAAATTTAGAATAAAGAGTTCAGAAATCGGTAATTTGGTTTTTGATGAAATATAATTCAAATTCATCCGTTTAGCTCGTTTATTTTTAATAGGTATTTTGAACGAAGGGATATTAGTGTTACATATGTAAGCGTGTGTGCGTGTGGACGCGTGTGTGTTAGTGTATGCATGCATGCATGTATGTATGCATTTATGTATACATATATGTTTTCTGATACCAAACGCACTCCAAGCTTTTTTGTTGCTATGCTGCCAATTTAAAAAAAAAACAAATTTCTACCAAATGCTCTCCTCCTCGATTCTCAAAAATTCAAGTAGGCTCTGCTGCAACGGCCAATGGACCACTTGAGTCGGTGGAGCGGGTAAGTAGATAAGTAGAAATGCATGTAGCTGTATGTATGTAGGTGTATGTATGTATGCATGTATGTATGCATGTATATATGTATGTATCCCGACATGTATGCATGTTTGCATATATGCAAAAACCAGCATGCATACATGTATGCACAAAAAGGGATACATATATATGCAAACTTAAACTAAAATAATCATCCAAATCATTCTGTATGTCTAATAGACGTCATCTACGCAAGAAAGTAGAAATGCATGTAGGTGTATGTATGTAGGTGGATGTATGTATGTATGTATGCATGCATGTATGCATGCATGTATGTGTGCATGTATATATGTATGTATCCCGACATGTATGCATGTTTGCATATATGCAAAACCAGCATGTATACATGTATGCACAAAAAGGGATACATATATATGCAAACTTAAACTAAAATAATCATCCAAATCATTCTATATGTCTAATAGACGTCATCTACGCAAAAAGTAGAAATGCATGTAGGTGTATGTATGTAGGTGGATGTATGTATGTATGTATGCCTGCATGTATGCATGCATGTATGTATGCATGCATGTATGCATATATGCATGTATGCATATATGCATGTATGCATATATGTATGTATGTATGTATTCATGTATATATGTTGTATCCCGACATGTATGCATGTTTGCATATATGCAAAACCAGCATGTATACATGTATGCACAAAAAAGGATACATATATATATGCAAACTTAAACTAAAATAATCATCCAAATCATTCTGTATGTCTAATAGACGTCATCTACGCAAGGACATAGATAGTTTTCATAGAAAACCAACAAGTGAAAGCTTTTTGAGTATCAAAACAAACCTTGGAACAGTTTCCAGTACTGCGTAGATAGTTTCCATAGAAAACCAACAAGTGAAAGCTTTTTGAGTATCAAAACAAACCTTGGAACAGTTTCCAGTACTGCGTCGCCTTCGCCGTGCGCGGTTCGCACGAAAGCTTTTACGTGGGAGCCGCAAATGTAGCCCCAACCCTCGAAGCTTCATTTGCAATTGAATGACGAAACAGTTTCACCACCGCCAGCAGCTAAGGTTGAGAGCCAAAGGAAAAATCCATAAATTGATTGAAGAAGGAGCACAAGCAGAAACTTGGAAAAAACTCCGGAAAATGCTGCTGCCCACGATCAAAACGGGCGGCATCTGGAACTGTCGCCAGATCTGGGACATGTTAATGTCACCAATGTCGCCGCGCAATCTGCGCACCACAGCGCTGCTGACGAGCATCTACCAGATGGTAAGTGATAGCCACCACCACCTTCTCCCACTCTTACGTAAGCAGCTGCAGTCTGAAGGATTGATTTATGGGGGCGCAGCGCACGGACCGCCGGCACGCAGACGAATCCGCAATCCGGCTGTCACCAACGTGCAGCCACCTGCCCCTAAATACAAAAATTACGCACTGGATATGCAAAGCCATACCCCACTGAGCACGTCAGAACCCATCAAAGGCGGCAATATAGCGCACGCCCCCACCCACGAGGAGCGTATGGACGAGCCAACGGCGCAATGCGTCTGCAATTTGCGAGTTCCTAACGTTGGAACGTGCTAAGACGAGCGCCCTTTTTGAATCAAGTCGTGACACGAGACGCATATTCATCTGCACAGTGCTTAAACCGGTTGTGAATTATTGGCGCAACTGCCGAAAAATAAGTCCAGAGAACTTAGACAGCCCTGCAAGATCTGCAAAGTTGTATTTGAAATGAGAATTCATGTATTTTTAAACTCTACTCCTTTATTTTCCTGCAGCTCATTGCCCATGCGGTACTTTTCGTGGTGATGCTCTGTCTGTCGCATGTGGAGCAAATGCGTCATCTGCTCGATTTGGATATTTTGGATCAGAAGGACAGCGGATTCTACAACATGTCACCATTTCACAATGATATGCGCCTCAAAACCGCAGCTCAACTGGCGGATGCCACCGAAAATGCACTCTATGTACTGGCGGGCATAATCATCGTTTATGCCCTGAGCACCATATCCTTGTTCTTCGGCGTGTTCAAGAATAAACCCGGTCTGATTATACCCTGGCTGGTGGTCGAGTTTCTGGGCCTGATTGCCCTTGCCGTCTTTGTATTTATGCTCAAGGATACAAAAATACCCATGATCTTTGGCGGACAGGAATCGTATTGTGAGTATATCATGGACATTTTTGGAGGTTATGTTCAGTGTTAAGATCTGTTTGTTTCTTTTTTAGTTATCATTTGTTATACGCTGCTCTGCGTGGATGCTATCAAGTGGTATGCTATGCATAGCTTCTATCAAAGTCTACGCACCATGAACAAATTGCGAGAGATTGCAACGGTGGCCATACCCTGTCCAGCCCCGGGCGCTGTAAGTGTTGACCCCCAACCTAGGTTGTCTATAAAACTGATTCTTAATCATTTTCTTTGCAGATACCCTATCAGTTCCGCAGGGAGCACATGTATTTGGGCAGCAACGGTTACAAACATATTCTGACTGAATCCCCTGATGGACAGGGTTAAACGGCAGTCGCTAAGAAACGCTTCGGGATACAGACGAATTCATCATACCCTCTCCCAATCCCCAACGCCATCGAACTTCCAGCATCAAGTGTCTTACATTTTTTTCAATTTATTTTAGTTTTTATTGATTTTATTAGCGTTTTTGGAACGTGTGTGATATGGAAAAGGAGGAACAGAGATAACTATTTTAGATAGAGAATGCAGCGCAAAAAGGGTTATGCACACAGATAGATACACTATATTCTTATGGCATTATATACACAATACATACATAACCCGTCCCGAAGCCCAGCAATTTATTATATTGTGCTAGATACTCATTAACTATTTTCAATGTAGTGCTTAAACTTAACTATTTAATCTCATAGTACGTTTGTCGACAATTTAACTTAATTTAAATATGCATAAAAATAAATGTGTGTTAACCGGGATTCGAACCTAGTGCCTACTGCGTCACAGTACCAACAGTTGCGCGTTGCGCCACAGTACGAGCGTGACGCGGCGTGCCAAAAAGGTATATGTATGACATACAATATAATGTCTGCCTTTGCTTATATAGTCTTCTCTTTTGCTCACACTGCTGTGTTACCAGGGGCATTTCCCATTGGCCAATTGAATTTGACCGTTTAATTTAAACATTAATTTCTGCTTGAGTTGAATTTCAAATACGCATTTCGGCTATAGCAGTTTATTTCAAAAATTTTCAATAGGCCTATTTTTTGTGGCACAAATAACAAATAATAGAAAAATTTATTTCATTCGGCTCTTGTTGCCTGTTAAATCGTATACTTCTAATAACTATGCTAATATATTGTTCTATACCTTTGTTTACCTTTTTCTTTATTTTTTATGTAGTGGCCTTACAGCAGGCCTTACCTTGACCCATTTTAACCCTTGCGGCCACGCCCAGATCGGCCGACTGGTATTGTAGTTGTTGTAGCTGTGGGTGCCAGGGTGGAGCTGGGAGTGCCCAGCAAGGTCATGTCATTACCCAAACTGTCCATCAACATGTCGGCCACGGTCACATTTGAGTTGCCATCGCCGTCGCCCTTGTCCGTCGGAATGCTGATCTGGAACTGCAGCAGCACCACCAAATAGGTGACCATGGTGGTGATCAGGCCCTTGAACAGAGTCCGATTGACATCGAAGAAGCCGCCGCAATTGATGTTCGATGGATTCATTTCGGTGGCGCGCAAAAACATGTTGATCTCCGTCTGGGCATCCGAGTTCATCCAATTGAGTTCGACCATCAGAAGTTTCTTTTGGAAATTCGTGCGCACATTGACCGAGGCATAGTGGGCCTCATCGCAAATGTAGAAGAGTAGTCCGATATTCCAGAGCGCCGTTATGGTCAATCCGATATCCTTAATGCCGAATCCTTCCGACAGCTGTGACATGAGTCCATAAATTGACAGAGTGATGATAAAGAACAAATAGAGACTCATGAATACAAAGGTGTAGCACAGCGCATTGCCCATGTCCCGGGTCAGCTTGCTCAGGCGCAGCCAGAGGACACGATAGTCCGCCACCATGGCGGCGGGACCAATGTGCTTCAGTGCCTTCTGAAAGCGCTCCGCCAGCAGATAGGCCGTTGTGCTGATTGCCTCGCAGATGAGGAACCACCAGCCGCCCAGCATGGCTGTCAAATTGTCCAGTATACAGTAGGGCACCACTTGATTGAGATTGAAATCCGACATGGTTATGTGGATGATGACCACGGACAGCACCGACAGTATGGGCAGCACGATGGCAATGTAGATCGCCTTCTGGCGGAGATTTAGCGGCAAACTGTGACCCGAAATTTGATAGTAGAGCACCTCAAAGTCATCCCAGTCGTTGAACAAGAGCGCTATCTTCTTGGCCTCCAGCCAAAGTATGGGTATTATTATAATTGGCAGAATATTGACCAGGAATAGATATGCGATGACCGCCTCCTCGAAGGGTCCGCTCAGCGAGCGCACAATGTGGATTCGATTGTTGGCCACGTAGCCAACGTAGAACTGCATCAATCGTATGATTAATCAGAATATTCCCCTTATGTCCACTGGAAAGGAAAAACTCACCGCTAGCAAAACGAAGAAAACAACCGAATAGACAAAAGGCGCCGAATTTAGAGCAAATTTGGCGCGAGAGGGACCACGGCGCACAATGGGCAGAACCCCGATGATCCGTAGGAACCAATTAACCGGCGCAATACTGCGATAAAAGACGCTCTAGCAGAACAAACGTCGTTTAATAATTTGGAATTAAAATCTTTTGATTCGTTGCTTACCGGGGTAAAGTCGGGATTATTGGAGCCCACGGTGCTTATGGAACCTCGTTTCTTATCATTTGTCGGCTGTATATAGTCGTTGTCCAAACGTTCAGCCAATCCAATAGAATACTTCCGTACTCCTTGAAGATAGGCCTGCGCATTGCCGCTGTTTATGGGCTTGGCATTCAGAAATACCGTGTCTGCCTTTTTGCGTCTATAATAGCTGGCCATTGTTCTTGAACTGTGAGCATTTTTTACACCTTACTAGCTGCCTTGGCACAGACACGGCCATTAAAAATGCATTTAACCTCGCCCTCTATTTGTTTCTTCTTGTTTGCATTGCAAGAACAACTTGAGTTTCCTGTTGATTTCGTTTGTTTGTCTTCTGCATGCATTAACCTTAACCATGTGTCCCAATTTCAAATTTTTATGAGTGGCGCGCAACTGCTTGAACTTTCGCAATATTGCTGTTTAACAGCACTGTCAAACCTATCGAAATCGATTGAGCTATCGAGAAATGGATTTTTTAGAGCTAGTTACTTAAATACGTTCAAATCATGAAACGGACTTCAAATTCAAGTGTGGACCATAAATTTAAGCCAGTTGCATATTCAACTTTAAGAGAAGAATATCATAATTTTTTCGTCATTTATTGTTGGGGAAACTACTGAAGAGAAGTTTTTGTTTTTTAAGTCACTGACACAGTGTCAGGTATAAATACCATCGATATTAAGCAGCTCAACCAAATATAAATTCATTAATCGATAAATTGATTTTAGTGCAACACTAGCTACATTTCTAGAACTTGCAGAAAAAGGCCGAAAAAAAAAACAATAAATTACAAAAATTCAATAAGCAATATGGTCGATTACAGCAAATGGAAAAATATTGAGGTGCGTAGTTTTAGAACAAACTTGAGGAATTAAATTAATCACAGCTTAAATTTCTCGCAGATTTCGGACGATGAGGACGAAACACACCCAAACATCGACACGCCTTCGCTGTTTCGTTGGCGGCACCAGGCGCGCGTCGAACGCATGGCCGAATCCGAGAAGGAAAAGGAGGAGCTGAAGAAGAAACGACAGAGCTATCAGGCGCGACTGATGAATGTTAAGGAGCTTATCAGTAAAAAAGAGGGTGACGAAGTGGCATTGAAGGTGAATATGAGCAGAACAACCTGTTATCAATAATTTATTAAAGCTCGCATCCGCTATTTATATCACAGAAAGAACTGGAAAAAATTGAAAACGAGGGAAAGGAACTTGATCGCCAAGAAAATGAGTTGCTGAAGCGGGAGAAGAAGGCGCCGTGGAATGTCGACACAATAAGCAAACCTGGCTTCGAGAAAACAGTAATTAACAAAAAGCCGCCGCGCAAATCAGCCGAGGACCTGACCGAAGAGGAACGCGAGCAGCGCATGAAACAGTTCGTCAAGGAAAACGAGAAGCTGTGTAAGCAGTATGGCATGTTGCGCAAGTACGACGACTCCAAGCGTTTCCTGCAGGAGCACTTGGATCTGGTATGCGAGGAGACGGCAAACTATCTAGTTATATGGTCAATCAATTTGGAAATGGAGGAGAAACACGACCTAATGGCACACGTGGCACATCAGTGCATCTGCATGCAATACATTCTGGAGCTGGCCAAGCAATTGGATGTGGATCCGCGCGCCTGTGTTAGCTCATTCTTCTCCAAAATTCAACAATGTGTGCCTGAGTACCGTCAGCAATTCGAGAGCGAAATTGAGGGCTTCAAGGAACGCATCCAGAAGAGAGCACAGGAAAAGTTACAGGAGGCCATGGCACAGCTGGAAGAGGAGGAGAAACAGGAGCGTATGGGTCCCGGCGGTCTGGATCCCGCTGACGTTTTTGAATCCCTGCCCGAGGTGAGTTTAATTACAACTAAATAAAAATTGCATACTATATGATAACTTTTTTGCTTCGAACAGGAACTTAAAGCTTGCTTTGAATCGCGTGACATTGAGCTATTGCAGAAGACTATAGCGACCATGCCGGTGGATCAGGCCAAGTATCACATGAAACGTTGCGTTGACTCTGGCCTGTGGGTGCCAAATGCCGCCGATATGCAGCTGGGCAATGATGAGTCGGAGGCCAAAGATGACGAGACGGCGACAAATGAAACGTCAACGGAGAAGGAGAAATCTAAATCGCAGAGCGATAAAAGTGCCGACTCCTCCAAGGAGGAGCCCATTTATGCTGGCGTTAGCACCGACGACGTTGACTGATCCTTCAGCGCTGTTATTGCATGTTACACTATAAGTTTAATCTTAATATACTGCCCATTTGTTCAACAAAGTCAGTTGGTGTGAAGTTTGAGAGAAACCAACTAAATTTTCAGTAAATTGGGCTTGAGCTTTCAATCAAATTCAAGCTGTCACCGTGAATATATACTCCCGATAATTAAAAATACGTTTATTTAGTTTCTCTATATATATATATATATATTTAACTATCGCAATGAACCGTCCCGAGCTGGACTACTACGCTGTCCTGGACATGCCGCGCAATGCCAGCAAGGAGCAAATTACGTTGGCCTACCGCCGCATGGCAGTTCGTTTGTGCCCGCATCGGGACAAGAAATACGAGATGGACTTTGTGCCGCTGGCGCAGGAGGGCAAACTGACGCACCTGTCGCCCATGAGCGAGACCAAACAATGGGCCTATATCAATATGGCATTCGATGTGCTGGGCCACGATCTATACCGTGCCATCTATGATCGCTATGGTGAAGCGGGCCTTTTTGAGGGCGTGATGCTGCCCAATGGCTATTTTCCGCCCTATCAATATCATGGCGATCACATGAAGGTTTACGAGCAGGTCTTCGCCAGCTACTCGCCGTTTGCCAATGTCATAGACGCCATTACCAATCCGCCCAGTTTGTATGCCACCAGGGAGCACGGCATTGGCGTGCGCCACAAGGATGCCAATACGGAGCGCATTATACATTTGTCCTTGGAGGAGGTGCGCACCGGCTGTGTAAAGCTGATGCATGTTTGGCGCCAAGAGATTGTCGATAAAAAGGAATCACGTCTGGAGAAGCGCAAGCACACACTCAAGCTAATCATACGGCCGGGAACCACGGCCGGCACGCGCTACTGCTTTAAGGAGGAGGGTGATAGTTATCCCACGACCATACCCGGCGATATTATATTCATTGTCGCCGATAAGCCGCATCCCACATTTGAGCGGCGCAATATGCACGACCTGGTCTATCGCTATGACATCAATCTGGCCCAGGCTTATACTGGTTTCGTGTTTTTCGTTGATACCCTGGACAAGCGTAACCTGAAGATTGTCATTTCGGATGTAGTTACTCCGGGCTACCAGAAGATCGTGCCACTCGAGGGATTGCCCAAGTGCCGTAATTTGGATGCGGTGATGGCAATTAAGCAAGCCAATAAGCGAATTGAAGAGTTTGGCGATCTTATAATTGAGTTTAATTGTACAAATTGATTATCAAAACAAACAATAGCTCGACTAATTACGGTTTATTTACAGACATATTTCCAAAATATCTGACACCAGAGATGAAGACATTGACCCGTGATTTCTACAAGGAGTTCCGTAGGATGGAACAGCAACTGGAAGATGAGGAGAAGCTGCATATGAAGTGAATAATTGTATTTGATTTTATTTAAATTGTGCAAATACAAATTAACTGTGATTTGAAAATCGCACTCATTCCGCATGCAGCAGCATACGGGGCGTAAGGTATCGATAGTTCAGTGAGGTATCGATAAATCGATAGGGTGTTCAATTTTTACGAACAGGTAAAACATAGCATAATTAAAAAACAGCAAGAAAAACAACAAAGAATAATAATTTGTGCCAACCCAAAAACACATAAAAAAAAAACTAATTATATCAGAGTGTTGAATTTCGACGTAAGCTCATAAAAAACACTGGAAATTCAGCTAAAAACCAAACTGATTTTTGGCCTACATAATTTAATTACTGACACCTGTGCAGTACGCCCCCCTCCAACCCCGCTCAGGGCCAAAGCAACGGAAATACCAGCGATACGCTTCAGTGCAAGTGGAGGCTAGCTAGCTGACCACACCCACATCCAAGGCAGAGCTAAAAATGCACCTGAGCGCCGATATTTCCAGTGCCTTGCAGCAAATCGAAGCTGTGAAAAAGGGCATCGATGAGTCTGAGGATGTGAAGCTGCAATTGCAGACGGCGGACAGTTTAAATACTATACTGGGCATACTAACAGATCCAGTTTTCCGCACCATTGCCCATGTGCAGGAGTCGCTGTACGAGCTGGGCATACAGCTGGGCCAGCATCCGTCCATGTTGCCGAATGACTTTGACATCGATGTCTCAGGGAATCTGGTGCTCAGCCTGAATGGCGGGGATGTTATGTACGATTCGTCGGCGCCAGCTAGTCCGGACAAGTCCAGCTCAACGGGCGAGGTAGAGGCGCGTCCACAGAGCCAAAACTCCAAGTCGGCCGCCGCCGATTTATATGCCACGGACTATGCCCAAATCCAGGCCATTGAGCTGGTCAACGATGGCACAGGCTTGGGCTTCGGCATAATTGGGGCACGCAACTCGGGCGTCATTGTGAAAACCATCTTGCCAGGCGGCGTGGCGGATCGTGATGGACGCCTGCGATCCGGCGATCACATTCTGCAAATTGGCGATGTCAATCTGCACGAGATGGTATCCGAGCAGGTGGCCGCGGTGCTGCGTCAATCGGGCACACATGTGCGCCTCGTGGTGGTCCGTCCCATTGAGCAGAGCCTGCCCATGCCACAATATGCCTTGGAGCCGGGCAGCGCTGTGGTGCCCACGCGCGTGCTCGTCGATCCTGCCGAGCTGGAGCGCTATCTCATCTCGACCGGCTATCCGGAGATCTTTGGCGAGAGCTCGACGGCGTCCACGCCGCAAACGACCACGGAGGATGACCGTTTCGTGTATCGCGGCGAGACTTCGATGCTCATTGATCCCAGCATTGATCTGGACGAGCTGCTGGCGCTGCCCGAAACGGAGAAGCTGCAGGTGGAGCTGAAGAAGGATGCCAACGGCTTGGGCATCACCATTGCCGGTTATGTGTGCGAAAAGGAAGAGCTCTCGGGCATCTTTGTGAAGAGCGTCTCGCCGGGATCAGCGGCGGATCTGAGCGGACGCATACGCGTCAACGATCGCATCATTGAGGTAGACGGCCAATCGCTGCAGGGCTATTCCAATCACCAGGCTGTCGAGCTGCTGAAGAAGTCAGGCCAGGTGGTCAATCTGCGCCTCGAGCGCTATTTGCGCGGTCCCAAATATGAGCAGCTGCAGCAGGCCATCGCCGCAAATGCCAACGAAAAGCTGCCCACCAGTGCACCTGGCACACCCTCGCGTGCGCCCTTGCCAACGCCCTCATCCACTGCCACAGCAGGCGCCAGCATATCGTCTGCAACAGCGACCTCCAGGGAGCTGGAGGATGAGACACTGCCCGCGCCAGACGCCTTCATGATGACCACGCCACCCTCGAGCTCGCTGGCCACCACCACAACGCTGAGCAGCTTTGGCGCTGGCAAGCAATTGGTGGCAGTGCGGGATTCTCTCGAAGGCGCGCCCAAGATTATACCAACGGATGTGGTCCAGCTGGCCGATAAGCAGGAGGTAAGCATCGCATAACTTCGATATACAGCTGATGCTCACATTTTCTTTTTGCAGGCGGCTGTGCATGCCAAGAACTCTAGTCTTATCACGCGCCACAAGTACCACATGGATCCGGAGCTCAGCGAGGAGATCGAGGCGGAGATTGTGCGCAAGTGGCAAAAGATTGTGGGCCCCGATATGGAGGTGATTGTGGCACAGATCAAAAAGTTTGCCGTCGGCGGCCTGGGCATCTCGCTGGAGGGCACCGTTGATGTGGAGGGAGGACGAGAGGTGCGTCCGCATCATTATATACGCTCCATACTGCCCGACGGCCCGGTCGGTGTCAATGGCGTGCTGCGCTCGGGGGATGAGCTGCTGGAGGTTAACGGCGAGCGTTTGCTGGGCATGAATCATCTGGAAGTTGTGGCCATATTGAAGGAGTTGCCCTTGGACGTGCGCATGGTGTGTGGCCGCAGCAAGGCGACCACGCTGCTGCCCTTCTCCGATGACACCTTAAAGAAACTGAGCAATAATTTTGAGAACTTGCTGCCGGCCACGGATCGTCTGGTGAAGGCCAAGTCCGACGGCAGCCTGGCCACAGCTGGCTCAGTGGGCGATGCGGACTCCGTGGCCGTGGCGGCCTCGTCGTTCAACAAGCTGAAATCTCGCTCCTTGGAGCCGCTCACTGGCCTGGCCATGTGGTCGTCGCAGCCGCAAATAATTGAGCTGCTGAAAGGGGATCGCGGTTTGGGCTTTTCCATTCTGGACTACCAGGATCCCTTGGACTCGAATGATACGCTGATTGTCATACGCTCGCTGGTGCCCGGCGGCGTGGCTCAGCTGGATGGCAGGCTTATACCGGGCGATCGCCTGCTCTTTGTGAACTCCATTAATTTGGAGAACGCTTCGCTGGATCAGGCCGTGCAGGCCTTGAAGGGCGCACCCAAGGGCGTAGTGCGCATCGGTGTGGCCAAGCCACTGCCAATGACGGATAACTCGCTGAAGGCGTGCAGCAATGCCAGCACCACCAGCGAGGAGACACTCGATGCCCAGCAATCACCGCCAGCGCTGCCCACAGCGGCGCCTCCAACAGCAGCCAAGGGTGCAGAGCCGGATCTGATACCCGACTGGCGCAAGTAGCCGCTGCATTTGTATGCTGTTATTATATTTATATAGGAATTGGGCGCAAGTGCACCAAAAAAAAGTATGTTATGCGTATTCAATAGCACCAATTGTGTTGACCAGAGCCGCCACAATGGGCGCGGCTCGGCTTGTCCCTGATCCGGGACAGCTGCATTCCCGATAATCGCAATATATTTCATTCCCCCGAGTATTAGTTTAAGTGTGTGTGAATTTAATGTACTTAAAGCTAAATAAATTATGCAAATCGTTTACAATAGTTAATTTAATATATATTATATATATAAATGTATGTACACAATGATGCGTTGAGTATCCTTGGCGTGGCTGCTGCTCTGCGGCTACTGCACCCGGTTCAGCTGGCGCTCGATGCGCATATAGTTTCGCCTGGAGAGTATGCGATCCCGGGCATAGCTCACCAAATAGCTGAGCACGCCCAGCACAAATGCCATCGCCTCGAATTTGATGAAATTCCGCTGCTCGATGAGCGCCACTCGGTCGCAGCTCTTGGTCACAATCTCGCCGCTCTTGCAGCGCAGCACCTCCTTGTAGTGTGTGTGGATGCAGACGCCCAGGCTGCGGCTGACAATGTCGAACTCGGAGCACGGATGACACTCCTGGACCACAGTGTAGCTTTCGTGTCTCCAACAGGTCGAGTTGTTCTCTATGACGAATTGTTGGCCGCGACGACGCGCAAGGCTGCCCTCCGCAGCATAGCGGGATTCGATAATAAGCACTAGGATCGTCACCAGGGTGAGGGCGGTCAGGCCCAGGACCATGTGATGCCTTTGGCAGTTTTCAAGCATTTTAGTTTTAGATTTACTTATATTTGCAAAACAAAAAAAAAACTAAGATGAAAGTCGAGTTTGTTTTTGCTTTTACAGCTGTTGAGTCCAGGGCTGCAAGCAAGTACTCAATTATAAAGTTTACACGATACCGATATGATGTAGGAAGTTCGTAAGCCGAAATTTCCATTAAATATGTGTTGATAGGGCTCGAGTAAATATATAAGCAATTATGTTTAACAAAAAAGAAGAAAACTACAAACTATTCATAAAATTTAATTTACAATTATTAATGAACATTACAAACATTGTGAGTTGCCTTAGTTCGTTGATGCATTGCAGCAAGCATCGATGCCCGATTATCGATATTCATCGATAGTACAGGCTGTTTACGAAAAAGTAAAACATGCAAATGGCAAGGAAGGGACAGAGACCAAAACAATTACGAAGATAGCCTTAAAGAGAAACGTGGAAAATTTATGAAAAACTGTGAAAATTGTGTGGTGGCGCATAGAAAATGGTGCTGCGGTCGGGAATTATAATTCCATTTCAATTTCGCGATACTAAGAAGCTGCTCATGATTGGTGTGCCCGAGGAAAATCGAAATCTGAACATATGGGACTTGAAGAATGTTGGTAAGCCTTGTTAACGGACGGAGCGCTGCTGGTGCTGCCTGTCAGTGTCAGGGGGCAGGGGGCAGGGGCAACAACGCACGCTGCCGCTGCTGGCCGCCCCCAGGCCCAGGGCAGGTCGTTAAACTTAATTGCCTTTGAAAATGTATGTGTGTATAGAGAGCAACACCCAAATGTGCAAAGGCTGCAAAGCAGCATAGTAAATACATAAATTTGTGAATTGGACATTGGAATTGAGCGATTTTCTCTGTTTTGTTTCTATTTCTGCTTTATTTCGTTTGCAGTGCGCGCCGCATTTGGCATCTACAATTTCGAGTTCCGCAACAAAAAGATTGGCTTCAACATACCCGATGAGCTGCTGCTGCATTATTTGGCCCAACGTCACGACCTCACAAATTTCGTTATAGAAATCAGCCAAGGTAATTGCATTAGCCATATAAGTTAGCCGCGTTACAAACTAGCGTTTAAGCCCTTAACAACTTGGAGCCATTACATATATACATTTGTATATCAAAAAACTACAATATATATGAATGCCATGTGCGTTTATTGATCTGTGTATATAGATGCGGCAACCGCAAAACGTGCTTTGCTTGTAAGTCTCTCACAATTGCATTGTAATAAATATCCACATTGAAAATGCTTCCTCTTGCAGCCCTAGACGATGGTCACGCCAAGGAGCTGCTCTCCTACGAGCCTTCCTGCTCAATGGCTGCGTTGAAGCAGCAGCAGCAGCAACAACAGCAGCAGCAACACCATCATCCGCATCCGCTTCAGCACCATGTGCCACTGCCGCAGCGCTCCAATGAGAGCGGCAGTCATGCCCACGACTATGTGGCTGGTGGACCCTCGGCCTTGCCTGGATCACAGCCAAATTCGCCAGCGCTGCGCGTTTGCAATGAGCCTGTGGACTCGCCGTTGGAGCATGCAAACAACTCAAATTCGGAGCATGCAGATGCAGGCCAAAAAATGCGGCTCACACAAACCTATGCGGAACGCACGCCCGAATCGCTAACACAATCCATAGATCCCATGGACATAATACCCAAAGCAGAGTCGGAGTCCGAAGCGGAGCGTGTAGCAAGGGCCGCTCGCTATCAGGCACGGGTGCAGCAGCAGCAACAAGAGCAACAGCAACACCAACAACAACAGCAGCAACAACAACAGGCACAGGCATTGCAGCACGCGCTGCCTTCCCAGCAATTCTTTTCAAACTACACGCACAGTCTGCCGACTATGACTCCACCAAATACATCGCAACAGTCGCCTTACACGCCCGGCCTGATGAGTCGCTTTAGAAGTGAGTAGTCCTCGTGGAGACGGAAGATAATTTCGTAAGATTTATTAACTGATCTTGCTTGCAGAGCGCGGGGAACGCATGTCCAAGGACCAAAAGGAGCTGTACGTCAAGTTCTTTGAGGACAATCCCTGCATGCTGTCGAACCATCGCCGCCACGATGGCCTTACCGAGCCACTGTGGGCCAAGCTGGCGCACATGCTCAATAGTGTGCCGCAGGGAGCTGTCAAGAATGTGGAGGATTGGAAGCAAACATTTGATGCCTGGCGCTATCGCATTTTCATGTACACACGCTACAACTCCAAGCTGAGCATGTCGGAGACGAGCGATCCCAAGAACTTTAAGCCACTGACCGCAACTGATCAGAAGGCCTACGCCATGTGGACCAGTCACAAGCACATTGCACCGCCGGACTACGACAAAATGGATATGTTTGTGCCGCTGGACGAGAGCACCACGGCAACGAACAGTTACGACTACTAAGGCAAACCAAGCTCCAACCCCAGTGCAAATGTTAATTGATAATTGATAATCAGAACGAAGATGATGTGTACTTTAACTAATGCTAAGCGCTAAATACATTATGTTTAAGCAACATATATGAAACAACTATTTTTTTCTTTGATTAAGCAACTAGTTTTTAGTATTTCTTTTGTGTGTAATTCTTGTAACTAATCGCCTCTTTTTGTTTTCAGTGTACGATACCGCCTTGGAAAACTATGTGCTGCATCCGCAGTGCCGCTGTGGTGCCCAGAAGCTGCTCAACGATTCGCCCACACCGGAGGAGCCCACGAATTTGTGCCAGAGCAGCAGTGTCGTGGATGCAGCACCCTCGGCCTCAACGCTGGCGCTGCCTAGTTGCGATGATGATGAGCAGGAGAGCATGAAATACCGCATCGATAAGGCTAGCAGCGGCGCTGCGTCTGCGGAGCTCGGCATGCCCGCCTATGATCCGTGTTCGCCCAAAATGGACTATGATACGCAGGACGAGCTGCCGGATTCGCCGCACTCGCAGCACCAACAGCAGCAGCTGCAGCAGCAGGTGCCAACGGCGCCTTTACCCTTGCCGCCGCCACCTACACATATTCCGCATCATCATCAGCACGAGGAGGAGCAGCAGCAGCTGCTGCAAGAGCGTATACAGCACGAGTTCATGCTGCAGCAGCAACATCAGCATCAGCATTTGCAGCAACAACAGCATTTGGCGCTGCTGCAGCAACAGGAGCAGCAGCAACAACAACAGCAGCAACAACAACAACAACAACAGCAGCAACAACAACAGCAACAGGGCGTCAACATGGCCATAGCCACAACGGGCACAAATAACATTCGACGTGAGTTGAACAACAGATATGCAGAAAAGTATGCTATATTGAGAAATCTACAAAAGTCGCAAAGAAAATAATCTTTTAAGCTCTGTAAACTGTAGGTGGGTAAGAATGGGGACAGACGGAGACGTATAAATATATGTCTCCTTGGTCAGCATCAACAGCCGCATAGATCTACCCAAGATCAACTGGGATGTCCGTCCGCAAACCAAGACTTTAGAAGCCATAGATTGCCCCGTCTAATGGAAATCGATTGTCAGAGCTGTAGATACCAAATTTAATTCGCAGAACTCATAAAACATTCTTTGTCTTTAGTGTGGGGTAGAGAAAATAATGCCCAGGGTAGCTACTAGTCCTGCATGTTTTGCTCTGCATTCGACTAAGTAAATATTAATACTTAATACGCTCTCTCTTCACCCACAGAACGCAAGGAGCGCATGTCGAAACGGCAAAAGGAGCTGTACGTGCACTTTCTGCAACAGCATCAGTTCATTAACGACCATAGACGGAATGATCCCGTGCTGGATCCCTACTGGCTGAAGCTGGCCAATCTGTTGAATGCTGTGCCGCAGGGAGCCGTCAAGCATGTGACCGAATGGAAGCAGACGTTTGACAATTGGCGCTATCGCATCTTTTTGTATGCGCGCTACAACTCGAAGCTGCAGGATGAGGAGGCGCAGAATCCGCGCAACTTTAAGCCGCTGACACGCACCGACAAACAGGCGTACATTATGTGGATACGCAATCCGGACACTGCGCCGCCGGATCTAGATAAAATGCGCAACGTGTTCTGCAATCTGGAGGAGAATACAACGCATCAGGACTAAAAGCTAGCCGGTCTTAACCGGGCCGGCTAAACTGAAAGCGCTCTCGCTAATTGCCATTGTTCTAGTTCATAAGAGATGGTTTTCTATAAACATACATTTTATTGTTTTCATGTTAATGCTGTGTATTTTATAGCTGGAAATGCATTTTTCCTTTTTCTTTTTTCTTTTTGTTATGCTAATATATATAAATATTAATTCGGCGATTTGTACCTTTACATGCAAAAGCTTGAAGTGTGGAGAGCTCAAGAGACAAGTTTTTAACAAATTGCTGAGAGCATGTTTCTAACAGGCAACATAGTTTCGTATATAGTTCCGATTTCATATTCCATCTTCTTTCGAGAATTGGCCCAAGCCTTTCTTAAGCAAGGTCTTGCTTAAGTTACCTTGATGATACTTTTTGTTGTTAAGTTCTTGAAAGATTAACTTTTTGTTCTTCTATATATCTTGATCTATGCTAGCACTTAAGACTCATTATAGAGCTCAAAATTCTTATTAGAATGAGACTACTATATCTTATAGCTCTATAGGAAAAATTGCCAATCAAATTCTTGTTTGTGTACAAAATCAGTTTTTATTTCTAACATATTCGCATCTGACTTAGTTATTACAAAACTAACTGTGCTTCTAACAAATCAACCATATCTTTTCGAAATCGAACTACTATATAATCGAGCTCCAATAAGAATAATTGCACGGAAAGCGAGTTGCTGCTGAAAAGCACCCACTGTATGAATGTCTGCCATCTGCCATATAAGGCTTGTTTATTTTATACTTCTGCTTTTACTTTTACTTAAGCTTCAAGTGTCGCAAATCTTGAGGTGACAGCCAGAAATCCTGTGTTCAAGATCATACAAAGAACCTTCTGGCTTGCGTTCACTTTCAAACTCCTTTCGCGAATCGGCTTAAGCCGGTTATGCAGGGTATCCCTTCGTAAAGGAACCTTGAACTTTAATGGAGTTTCGTGTTCTGGCTGCACTTGTTGGACTGCAGTGCATTGTGTCTAGAATTTAAAGTTGACAAACTCCTTTCGATATTGCAGCATTGCTGCTTGTGTAAAACATATTGTGTACTGTGTACTTCCCTATCTGAGAAATACAAATCAAGATCTCTATGTAGACACCTACGTATCTCTAGGTAGACTTCTTATGCGTTGATTAATTTGCTGCCTGCGGGCGTACAGCATCCAATCTGTGGGTACTTGTCGCACATGCTTCGATTTGCTGCTCCGGCTGCTGCTGCTGCTGTTCGAAACTAATCCGGCGATCATTAATTAACAGTTCAATCAAATCGGATACGCTCAATGCCTGTCGACTGACGACTTTTTGGGCGCTACACAGAACTCTCTCGGCTTTATCGGCTAGTCCGACACTTACAAACATATCAACTTATGTGCTTAAATAACGAATAACTTCATCTTTTCTAAGCGAGCCGGTTGGCTTTTTGTCTGCATTATAATTTATTTTATTTCTTGCAAGTTTCTTTTTTTCATTTATAAAATATAGCTGTTAGAAATTGCATTTAATTGTGCAAAGTGCAACAATATAATATAAATCGTGTTTGGAAATAACAGAAAATTTATATATTATATGCCACATAAATTAATAACTTAAATGAGCGTATCGGAGTCTTTGCAAAATGGCTCGTAAACTGCTCCAGCTGTTCCAATAGCACGTCCGTTCTGTCCGTTCTGACCAACTGTCTGTCTCTTATCGTCGGCCAATTGCCATTACTAATAAAGATAAATGAATGTGCGCTCATTAAAAATGTGTTCCAAGACATTGAGCTAGGTTATTGGCTGTGAATCGACTATTGGATTTGCGGCATGTTCTCCGAACTACCATCTACTCGATCTGGCTCTGGCTATGGCTGTCAGTTCATATCTATTCCAGATCTGTAGCATTCAGTCAAGCGTTCAAGATCAATATTCTCAATATATTTGCATATACACACGGCACTCTGTCGTATTGAAAACCGTAGGCCGTGCCAGTTGACAGCCTCCGCTGGGTGGCACTGGATTTATAAGTTATGACAAGTGGGCTAAAACAATGCTAACTGTAGTAGCAATCAATTGATTCATGCATAAAACATGATGTAATTCTATATAGAGCATATAGTTAATGATCTTGCCACTTGCATCTTATCTCAGATCTAAGGACAGCCTGCTGCCTAGCCAATGCCAAGGTAAAGTTAAACTCAAGTCTCTAAACATATCTGTCTATTGGGAATAGTATCAAATAATTATTATAATTATTCATTCTCTAATTCCCGCTTAAAATACTATGATAAGCCTCAGTTTATGTGGCAGCAGCAGTTGATTTAAAATCCTCAACAAATCCCATATTACTTTTGCTGCAATTCTTTGAGCTGCTGCTGTGGCATTAAGATCAGCTGTCCGAAGGCTTGCCCAATCTGAAAACGCTGAAAATAACATAAATTAGCCTGCCTGTCACTTTCGATAGTTTACAAAATTACCATCAGATTATTTCGTCTCGAAAAATTCTCCCACACTCTCTAAGCCGCAAAAATATCAGCTTCTAGCGGTAGCTGCCACTTGGACGGCCCACAAAATCATCAGATCAATCATAAGCACATGCGAGCAACAACAAAAACTGTGCTGTAAAAGAAAAAAAAAAACGATAAAACGACCATAAATGCGATAGAGATCTTTTGTAAGACCTGTTTTGTCCATGCCGGCCGCACCATAAAATCAACTTGTCAAGCCAAAGCGTTTTAAGCAGACATTTCTGTTGATTTACTATTGGAACAAACACATAATTGCAAAAACTTGTGTATGCTAATCGATCGTCCGCCTGATTGATATGGCTTTTTAATTATATTTACATTTTAATTATGGCATCTTAAGTGCCCTGAACCTGAACTACATACATAAACAGCCAATATTTGGCTCGATGTTTGCGGTGCAAATCGTTTCTTAATGTTTTTTTGAATGAGGAAATCCGATTTGGACATAAATCTTGCCAAGCGCATCAAAAAGCATTAAACAATTCTTTTGCAAACTCATAACATTTAATGGAAACAATTTGTACGAAAACAAAAATTGTTCAAATATACATACAATTTAAATTCGGTTTGCTTTTGGATGATATCATTCGCTGTACTTAAGATGTGCCAGGAATCGTTTCCAGAGGCGTTGACAATAGGGCAAACCTTTTAATTGGTCGGCCTTCAGTTAATGCGTAAAGTGCTGAAAAGAAATACAGACTATAAGCCTATATATATCAAATTTCAATGTCGCGCACGTAATGACAGCTAAGCGGTAGGCCTTTTTTTTTTTGGCCAGCCCAAAACGTTTTGGGGCCATAAAGAGGTCGAGGCTATTTAAAAAGAATGCACGTGTTGACAATACGAAATACATAACTGATCGCAAGCGGAGCATTGGCCAGACATTTTGGCATCCTGTTCGGCGGGTTCATAAATAAGTTCCTAAATGCAA